AAAATATCTTCTTTGGCTATTACTAGCTAAGCTATTAATCTGTGGAAAAACCACCAGTAATAGATTTCTCAGGAAGCTGTTAGATTAGCTTCCTGAGAAATCTGTTACTGGTGTTTTTCCACAGATTAATAAATCATCAACCCTTACTTCATTGACTATTAACAAAAACACTTGACAAAAGTGTTATTCACTTACCTGGCTATGATGACTGAGTTACTTTTGAGAGAGTTGAATTCATTTAAGCTAAACTTCAGAGAACCAGTTTGGTTTAGTGGTTAAGGTATCAGACTAGAAACTGGGAGACCATAAGTTCTAGACTTCCCTTAGATAAGGGTTTCACAACCTCCAGGCCGTGGCCCACTCCCGGGCTGTGGCTTATTTGGAACCAGGCCGCACAAGCAGCGTATCTGCACACGTGCACACATGCACGCGCTGGCCCGCCATTTGTGCAAGTCAAGCTGTGCATGTGTGCATGCTGGCATGCCACTCATGTGGCCCAGTTCCCCTCTCTCGCCCCTCCCCAAGCTGGGCTGCCAAGACCTAAAGGTTAGGAAATGCTGCCGTAGATAACAAAGCCAGCTGGATGATTTTGGGCGACTCACTAGAAAAGAGGCAATGGTAAAGCACTTTTGAAATCTTGCCAAGCAAACTACAGGGAATTGTCCAGGCAGTCCAGTTTTGTGACTTGAAGGCACAAAATGAACAACAACCCAGTAACACTTCAGTATGTTACTTCAGAGTATACATACATAGTTAAATCTATAAAATATTTATACCTTCTTTTATTATTAGGATTTATCTGGACTGAAAGATCATGAGTTTCAAGTCCGTCACCCAGATTCTCCAGCTTTGTTGTATCAGTTGCGCTTAGGAGATGAAAAGTTACAGGTAAGACTGTGAGACGCATCCCTTATAGTGCTTTGAACGAAACAGAACATTTCTTTTCTTTTGAGTTTTAAATAAAAAAAGTTCTATTAGAAATGTCCCATCAAAATGTTTTGCATTGGTTCAAGCATTGTATATTACGAAGATGGGAAACAGTGGGAACTTGGAAACTGCTACTGTTCCCTTGTTTATTATTCCAGGATAGCAAGATCACATTGGATGGTAGTCCGTGGTGAACTGTGTGCTACCTACCATCTAAATTGTGGGTAATTTGGCCAAGGACTATATTTGGATTTTTAGAAAAACATTAAAATAAACATCGCTCTCTTCTGACTAACAAGAAAAAATGATCTTCTTGTCCAATATTCTTTGTTTGGGGAAATAGCTTGCACACAGGGGAGGTTGCTGGCTGCAAAAAAGGAGGATTGATGGTATCCTTCATTACTATGTTTGTTCAGACTAAATAATCCTGTGGTTCCAGTTCCTCCAGATCTTCAGCTTTTGAGTCAGTTAACTATTGCCAGTAATCCATACATTCTTAGTCTTGCATTCTTTCAGTTTACCACATAATTCCTCTACTACATATGTAGAGGTACATAAAAATTTATGCCATCTTGAGCTCCTGTACAAAAAGTGGGCTGTAAATCTAAAAAAATAAATATTTCATTTTGAGGGTTCTTTTATTAGTTTATAATGTAAAATACAAAAGAAAATAGTAGGAAAATAAGGGAAGGAGAAGAGAAGGGAAAACTCTGGTTTCTCCTCAGATTGTATAAATCTTTCACCTTTTACTAAAAAATATTAAATATTTTGATCTACATATTCTGCTGAGAGAAATTATTTAATCGTAGGTTGTTTAATTGTAATCCAACTGCAACAAAGATAGATGAATCTATAGATATTTACAATAATTTGAAATTCTTCCCATCTTTCACAATTAGGCTCCAATGGCACTATTTTATCCAGCAACGTTTGGAATTGTGGGTCAGAAAATGATAGTTTTGCAGCACAGATCTCAAGGCGATCCTGAGGACCCCCATGATGAACATTATCTCTTAGCTACACAAAGTAAGCAAGAGCAGGTGTGTGTGCGTG